GGTGGGTGATGGGTGGGGGATGAGACTTGGTGTGCGAGCAGGTCAAGCTGGGACTTGAAAATGAGCTGAAGGAGGAAGGACAGGACATGGTGTGTGTGCGTGTGAGTGTGAGTGTGTGTGTGTGTGTTTGTGTGTGTGTGCGCGCGTGCGTGTCTCTGTGTGCATGCACGCGCAGAGCCAGGGCCAGGGGCAAATCTTCGCTGTGGCACTCACCACAAATGATGCGTGCGCGTGGCCCGCGCTCAGTAGCCTAAGGGTGGCCTTGAACTTGAGGCCGCTGATGTTCTCGACAGCATAGTTGACCGCAAACGCGGCACCCGCGGTGATGAGGCCTGTACACAGGACATAGGCACAACAGAGTGGGGATTGGCGCGAGAGTCGCGCATAGGACCCGGCGGCACGCCCTCACGCGGTGCGGGCGCGGCTGGTAGCTGCAGGCGGGGCGGCGCGCGGCAGGCTGCCGAGGGCTCAGAGCCCGACGACTGTAAGGGGCGACGCCCAAGGGTTCCCCATCCATGTGCCCTGGTTGCTGCCAGTGACCCCAGCCGGTGACCCCACCCACACACCCAAAAGGAAGCACATGGTCCATTTTGCCGCAGTGCGCCAAATGTGGTCGACGTGGGTCGTCCCTGCGTACTCGGCTCTGTAGACGGCATTCTCAACCACCTCGTAATCCAGGCTCTCAAACTCGGACCGCTGCGCCCGCTGCAGCGGCTGCTGCGTGCCCAGCCGCGACGGCTGCCGCCCATTCGTCGGCACCGGCGAGCCGCCGCCACCGTTGCCGAAGCCAGGGCCGCCGCCGCCGCCGCCGCCGCTGGCGGCGCGGCCGCCGGCGGGGGTGGTGGAGCGCGGGCCAGCGCCGGGGCCGGGGCCGGCGCGCGCCGACGCATCGATTGAGAGGGGTCTCAGCGGCGGCTTGGGCGGCAGTCCGTGGGGGTGTGCCGGACTGCCAGGCATGGACGGAGCCGGACTGGCTGCCGCCGGCGCGCCCGCCGCTGCCGGGGCTGAAGATGCGAGGCCGTTGGTTGGCGCGCTGCTGGTGGCGCCGTCACCGTTGCTCAGGTTTGCATCTCCCTGGGTGGTTGCAACACAGAATGAGGGTCGAGAGAAAGCGTGCATTTGCTCTCAATCGTACCATAGGCGCGTAATATCATATCATATTCGCACGCCGCTCTGCGTTGCCGCTGCTGGCTGAACCGCACTACATCTCCTTGCCAACCGCCTTCACTGTGGATAAACCGCTGGATGCAAGCAGCACCGCTTGCACGCACGCACCCGCAGCGGCGGCGCCCCAAACGCCTGCGCGCCGTCCCTCCTCGCCGGCGGCTGGCCCCTTTCCCCTCCAGCTGCCAGCGGCGAGGGAGCATAGTAGTTGCTGGCCCCGGAGAGAGTGTTGCTTGGCGGCACATTGCCAAAGCTCATCAGAGGCCAGCCGCCCGCCGGCGCTGACGCTGCGCGCTTTGAGGGGCCGAGCAGCCGCCACTGGTGCTACAAGGTTTCTGAACTGTCGGCTAGGCTGGGGCGCGATATGCTTCTGCTGTCGCGCAGGTAAGGTCCTGTTTGCCGGCCTTGGAGCGGCGTCGATGCAGCAACCGCACAGGGCGGCGCCAGCGTGTGCACTGTCTGCACTCCAGATAGCTCAAAGGACTTTGAATTCAAGCAAAGTAATAGTCACAAGTGCGTTAGGAATAAACGGGACGGAGGGCACGGACCACGGTGACCATCATGATCTGTATGTTGCTTGCGGGGCAGCATTAATATATTTGAATTGAAACACTTATATTTCTTGTAAAAACCACCCAGCAGTCCGATCAGCTGTGCGTCACTTGGACTATTAGTGAAAAGTGTATTGATCAACTCGCTCGTCAATGGGGTTTATGTATATCGTCAGGGAGCTGTGTTGCTTTCCTGCAATTGGCTTGGCAGTGCCATACACTCCCCTCGCCCCTTTCAATTTCAGCGTCAAGCCTGGTTGAGGCTGCGGTGGATACACCTGAAACAATCCGCACAATGCAGCTTCGAGGCGACAGTCTGGTGAGACAGTGCCGTATAGATGCATGGCAGGGTGGGCGGTCGCTGGCGCAGTTGCCAGCGGTGGGCAGCGGCAGCGTATGGCGGCGCAGCACAACATCCACCACGGCGAGCAGCTTGCGCAGCAGCAGCTCTACCAGGCGGCGAGACTCATGCATTGTATGTAGCGCCAGCGGCGTCAGCAAGGTCACATCAAGCCTCAAGTCAGGTGCGCATGGTGCCGGCGGTGCTGTGCCCGGGACGACAGTGAGCTCCGCTACCCCCATGCGGCGCCTCGCAAGCGCTGTTGCCGGTCCTGACCTTCACAGTCATGCCGTGCAGCTGGCGGCGTGGTTCTTGGCACGCACCGCCCATCCCATACGACCCGGAGCCCCCTCCTGATATCAGCCCCAAAAGCTGCCCATGACGTCTGACCCCCCACGACCCCCTCCCCCGCAGTCATCCAGGGTGGCTCCGACCCCGTCTATGTGGCGGCGGCCACATACCTCAAGTCCATCGGATTCGTCAACCAGGCCGAGGTTGCGCGTGTCTTGGACATTGCGACCAACCCCAACTCACTGTTCGTGCAGTACAACGACGCGAAGCGATCGCGCAACGCTAGCGTGAGCGGCGGGGCGCATGCGTACGTCGGGGCAGGGGCGGGGGCGGGGATGGGGTTGCCTTCGCGAGATGATGTGTTGGCTTACATGATGCAATGCGGATTGCGGCGCTGACATGGCGCCAGGAAGAGGTTGTTTCCCAGCAATGAGAGCAGGGGGCAGGTGGCCGGCGGCAGGGAGGAGGGGGGCGGACTGCAGCGCTGGTGCAGCAGCAAGGGGTGGGCCCACGTCTTGGCCGCTGCACGCCAGCCGCTCCCGGCGCCCTGCCCTTACGCCGGCGCCCCATGCTGCCATGCGGCGGTCCGCAGGCCCGGGAGCTGACCGTCGAGGATGACATGGCGCCTGTAGTGGAGTACCTCAAGTCGCGCGGCCTCAGCACACCCGAGGTTGTCGCGGTGGTGGCCGGCCACCCGCCGGTGCTGAGCTACAGCGTGGAGGAGCGGCTGGCGCCGTTCTGGGACTACATGCAGGACACAGTCGGGCTGCAGGTGCGCACGCGCGCGCGCACACAGCTGGGCGCGGCGGCGGCCGCGTGCATGCGGGCTGCCGCCGATGACCATTACATGTGTTCCAAGTGCTGTGCCTGTTGTCAGTGGCGGCTGTTGGCTAGCATGGGTCCCGCCGCCTGCCAGGCAGACTTCCGCCTGATCCGCATCTAGCAACTGCTCATGGCTTTCACGCACTTGACTGGCATGCACAACCGCCTGGCACGCACACCCGTCTCCTCGAAAGCCATCATGCCAATAACAACAGACGCCGTCACTCGCGCGCCGTAACTCGCACGACGGCCAACCGCCCTCCCCCTGGGGCCGCAGGACGTGGGCGCCGTGATCGCCAAGCGGCCCAGCCTGCTCGGCCTAGACCTGTCAAACCTCGAAAAGATCGTTGGTTACCTGAAATCCGTCGACACGCCCCCCGAGACGATCGTCAAGTACATGATGACGAGCATATGAGGACGGCCGTGGGCGCCACGCGTGCGTGGGGTTTGCCCTGCGATCAACTTTCCTTTCTTGTGTAAACCCTTGTGGCTTGGTTGCGCTTCGGCCATGTGTTGCTTGCAAAATGGTATTCATCTCATCTGTTGTTGTCAAACTAGCCCTAAGTGTACTTTCGCCCTGCCAGCACCACCAACTACCGTGTGCTGATGATTCAAATGTTTGAAAGCGAGGCATCTGTCGTCTAATGTGGCGCCGCTTGCTGGCCGCTGCGCTATCTGCCTCATGCCTGGCTGTTGACATGTGAACATGTTGCAGTAACCGTGTGGCAGGGGGAAGGCGGTGGGCAACGAGCAGGATGCGTGGCATCCGGGTGCGGTTGGCTGCGCGTGTGCCGAGCAGCGCAGCAGCAAGGTTCAAGGGGTTTGCGGCGCCCTGCAAGAGAAGCGTATGCTTGCTCGCGGCAAAGAAGGCAAGGTTTTGAAAGACATCACCGACAATTGGACCACGGGCCCTCGAGCTTTGCGAACATAATGCAGGCGGTGCTGCAGGGACACATGCATGGAGGATGGTGTGCGTCGCAGCACACGAGGCATTTGTGAAAACGAGGTCCGAGGGCGGGCCTAGTCAGTCCACACGATCGTTCCAAAGGATGGCACAAGACACGCCGCCATGTGCTCGCGCTGTGCCAATGTTGGGGGAAAGTGGCGCATTCCGTGGCGGTGTTCGGAATCGGCCGAAGGAAGGATCACAGCTCGAGTGCGCCGAAAGGGCGCGAAGAAGCCGAGCGGATGAAACCAGGATCCAGGGCGCTCAGGTGGAAGCAAGGGCTCAGCCGGCCCGTGGCGGCCCCGCCTTGAAGAGCCCCTCGACCTCCTCCAAAGTCAGCACAAGCACCCTGCTGCCCGCGTCGCCGCTGCCGTAGCTGACGAGGACGCGCGGCCCGCTGCCGCCATTTGCGGGGGTCGCGCCGCGGCGGGGCGGCTGCAGGTGGAGGCCGCTGGCGAAGGTCACCTTTTTGTAGCGCGGGTGAGTCTTGAGGGGCAGCTCGGCAGAGACCTGGGTGTGTGCGCGCGCGCACGTGTGTGTGTGTGTGTGTGTGTGCGCGTGTGTGTGTGTGTGTGTGTGTGTGTGTGTGTGTGTGTGTTCGCGCGCGCGCGTGTGCGCGCGTGCACGCGCGTGTGCGCGTGTAAGTGCCTGTTTGTGTGCGCGTGCACGCAAGGCGTTTGAGCAGCATCACTTGCCGCCTTTTACGCCTGCCGCCAAGCTCAGGACCCAAACACCCAACAGCCCCACCTCCAGCGGCCTGAAGGGGGGGCTGGCCTCCATTTTGTACAAATAGTGGTGGTAGCTGCGGCCGTCGCCACTGCCAGTGGGGACCCAAAAGTGCACCACACCAAGAAAGTAGCGCGACGCGGCCTGCACGGGCGGCAGGGCAGCAGTCGCCAGCGCCGGCATGGGCATGTGATCGGGAAAGAGGGCAGGCTGCACGCGCGGCATTGTGGGGCGGCATGCACCCTGCATTCCCACCAAGCGCGCGCCAGCAATTGACCGGCTTGCCTCCCCTGATCTCTGCGCTATCCCGTCAGCAACGCCACATCCCTCAACCCAGCCTAGGCCCGCGCGCGCGCACGCACACACACACACACACACACACACACACACACACACCTTTGCCCTCGCTGCAACTTTGGGGTCTCGCAGCCACTCCGACCACTTCGCTCCATCCACCAGCACCAGCGGCGGCCCGCCATGCAGCTTGGCCGCCCCCGCCCCGAGCACCGAAAACGCGCCCGCCGCCCCCGCTGCGCCGTCGCCGGCGCCGTCGGCGGCGGGCGGGGCCAGCAGCTCGGCGGCGCCGCCGGGGCTCAGCCGGTAGACTTTGTGGGTGGGCGTGAGTGCCTGGACGACATACACGCCGCCGCTGGGCGTGACAAACGGCATCCAATTCTTTTCGTAGATTGAGTGCTGCTTGCCATAGGCTTCCTTGGCGTCGCTGATGGCCAGCGCCACAGGAGGCGACCCCCAAAGGCGCGACCAATCGACATCCTTCTCCGCCTGCGCCTCCGCCCCGCTAGCTCCCGACCTCTTCTTTCGCGTCGGCGCACGAGCAGCCACGTTTGGGCTCTCCACTCCAAACTCAGCCGACTGGGCGGCGCCCGGCGCCTCGCTCGCGCCGTTTGCGGCGCCGGCGCCGGGGCTGCGCCTCGGGCGGCGGTGCTTGCGCCGCCGCTGGCGCCGCCGTTGGGGCGG